GGGCCCCCCGAGCCTGGCCCTGGCCTAGGCAGAAGGGGCGGGGGTGGCGGGCGGCCGGCCGGGCGAGCGGCTGCCCCGGGAACCAATCATGCTAAGCCACAGGTAAACTCCCCCTCCCGGGATGTGGGAGCGGAGGGGTGTAATAGGGGCACCCCCCAAAACAGGAAAAATGAGGGGCGCCCCTCTCCCAGTCCAATGAAGACGATACAGGCGGACGGGGAAATGGCCAGCCCGGCCTAGGGGGATCCAGCCGGCGGTGGGGTGGGAGAAGGCGGCGTCAGGGCTGTGCCCCAAAGGCGCTTTGCAACAGGACACAACCCCACGGGGGGGCAGTGAGGATCTAGATCAGTGGGTCTCCTAATCTAGATCAGTGGGTTCGCTATTAACCCGGAGCCACCCACTCTTGGGGGGACTTCAATTCCCAGAAGCCCCTTCCGCTGGCCATGCTAGCTGGGGCTTCTGGGAGTTGAAGTCCAAATTGAACCCCCAAACCACCCCCTATGGCCGTGAACCCCTGGGCTGAATGGGCAAACGTGGAAGCCCCGAGAATAAAGAGGCATCTTAAAGAGAGTTTGGAGGTCTCAACGTGGGATTTATGGTCCGGTGTTGAGCATACAGGATTAGGCTGAGGCTAGCAGTCATTGGAGAAAGTAGTTGATAGTTTTTTTGTCGTTAAGTGTTGTCCAACTCTTCGTGACCCCCATGGACCAGAGCACGCCAGACCCTCCTGTCTTTTACTGCCTCCAAGAGCTGGGTCCAATTCATGTTGGTTGCTTTGATGACCCCGTCCAACCATCTTGTCCCCTGTCGTTGTCTTTTCCTCTTGCCTTCACACTTTCCCAGCATCTTTTCCAGGGTCTTTCCCAGGGTCTGAATCTGTCCTTCCAGGGAGCACTCGGGGTAGTCTTTCCCAGGGTCTGGATCTGTCCTTCCAGGGAGCACTCGGGGTTGATTTCCTTCAGAACGGATATTTTTGTTCTCCTTGCAGTCCAGGGGGCTCTCAAGAGCCTCCTCCAGATTCTTCGGCAATCAGCTTTCTTTATGGGCCAGCTCTCACTTCCATACATCGCTACTGTAAAAACCATTGCTTTGGCTATGCAGACTTTTGTTGGCAAGGTGATGTCTCTGCTTTTTAAGATGCTGTCGAGGCTTGTCATCGCTTTCCTCCCAAGAAGCAGGACGTCTTTTCGTGGCTGCTGTCTCCATCTGCAGTGATCATGGAGCCCAAGAAAGTAAAATCTGTCACTGCCTCCATATCTTCCCCTTCTATTTGCCAGGAGGTGATGGGACCAATGGCCATGACCTTAGTTTTTTTGATATTGAGTTTCAGGCCGTTTTTTGCACTCTCCTCTTTCGCCCTCATTAAGAGCTTCCTTAATTCCTCCTCACTTTCTGCCATCAGAGTGGTATCATCTGCATATCTGAGGCTGCAGATATTTCTTCCGGCAATCTTAATTCTGGTTTGGGATTCCTCCAGTCCTGCCTTTCGCGTGATGTATTCTGCATATAAGTTAAATAAGCAGGGGGACAATATACAGCCTTGTCGTACTCCTTTCCCAATTTTGAACTAGTCTGTTCCATATCCAATTCTAACTGTTGCTTCCTGTCCCACGTATAGGTTTCTCAGGAGATAGATAAGGTGGTCTGGCACTCCCATTTCTTTAAGGACTTGCCATAGTTTGCTGTGGTCCACACAATCAAAGGCTTTTGCATAGTCAACAAAGCGGAAGGAGATGTTTTTCTGTAACTCTCTGGCTTTCTCCACAATCCAGCGCATGTTAGCAGCTGATAGATGTCCCTAAACTGGGGGATAAGTAGAAGTAGGGGGGAATCAGCTCTAGCAGCTAGATCATATAGACGTTTGCTGCTATGCTCAGCACACCACCACATGTGAACAGTATGCTTTGCAGATGGTGTGCCTGTTCTTGCATGTCAGTATATTCTCTTGTCATTTTCATATTCCCACACCTGCCTGGAGAATCATGGATTTTGGCTGCCAAGCAACCCCCCACCCCAAATTGAGTTTGCTTGCTTTCCTGGTAAGGGATTTAGGATTTTTAAAAACCCAACAATATAACAGTGAGCGTACGACTGTGTGAAACGGCATTAGGTGCACCCAGATTAAATGGGCACTGAGGCCACAGGATTCACCCACACCAGGGACTGCAAACGGGAGATGGTTTTGCAGAAGTTGTGACTTTCAAAGCTCGAAACATGGCCAAGGTCAAATTCTGCATTCAAAATGCCTTTACAATATTTTAGGGGATCCTTGGAACAATTCCTTTAGGATTTGATAAGCTCCTTAATTGGGAAAACTCTGTTAGCCATTTATAGGTAGTGTGGGTTAAACGGATGCGCTAAGAGATATAAAAGGCTAAGTCAACCCCGGGGTTCTTAGCGGTTATATTTAATGGCTGAGGGACTGTGCTAGGAAGCAAGAAGTCCTTGTTTCAAATGTTATGCCTTATCTGCAATATGAGATAGCAATGTACCAGACTACCTTAGGGTTTTTAAAGGTTTTTTAAAGGTTTACAGAACTGAGGGTGAACAAAGCATGGTAAGCCAGCAATCCAGAGCACACTTCCCCATGTGTAAGCCCATTGAATGCAGTGGAATTTAACATTCCAGTAAACGGGCATAAGACTGACCTATAGTTTAATTACTGGGTTCATATGTTTCATATACATATGATTCATAGATAAATGCATTCAGTTTACGTACATTCTGGCAGATTATGTAAGTAGGGTCCCCCTCATCAGTTTTGCGTCACTGTTTATGACCACCTAGAAAATATAGGGAATAAATTTCTGTCAAATTAGATTTTGTTGCTTGAACTAGTTTGTTTAAACCTTGAACTCCTGAACCAGTTGTTCCTTTCCTGTCTCAGAAACATCCCCCAGCAGTCCTCTGAAAGTGGACGTTTACCTAGTATGCATCTTATCATCCTGGCAATGACCTCTTGGTTGTAATTAACATCTTGATGGTCCCATTGCTATGTTAACGAACCATTGTCCCTTTCCCTATTATCTGTTACCTCATCTGGTCATGGAAATATGTGTAAATATACTGGTCATATATTTGAATTCCAGTGCCTGACAAAATGGATTTTGATCCACAAAAATGGCTATTAAATCAAATTATTAGTTTTTAATGTTGTACCATTTTGGGGGGTTCTTCCTTTCTTCCCTCACTTGTCGATATCGATATCTAGTTAGGAGCTACAGGAATTGAGTCTGATAGTACAATTTGCTCCAGATAATGTAATGTGTAAACCTGTGGCTTTCGGGTCATTTTTTACCCCAGACTTGCCACTAATGTCTAATGCCTATCTTTTAGTAGCTGCTCTTGGTTCAGCCAAGAGAACCAAAATGGCAACATGAACTCCGTGAGTTTACCCGAACGTATCCCATAGAGCCATAGACTTTTTTTTTAATTTAAAATATTTGGAAGTCCTCCCTTCCACCTTATAAAGGACCAAAGGTGCCTTACGTCATTAAAAAGACAATATTTAAAGGTTGTTGTGGGGGTTTTTTTGGGCTCTTTGGCTGTGTTCTGAAGGTTGTTCTTCCTAATGTTTCGCCAGTCTCTGTGGCCGGCATCTTCTTCTGAAGATGCTGGCCACAGAGACTGGCGAAACGTCAGGAAGAACAACCTTCAGAACAGGGCCAAAGAGCCCAAAAAAGCCCACAACAACCATTAGATCCCGGCCGTGAAAGCCTTTGCGAATATAATATTTAAAAGCAAAGACCGTATGTATATAAATATTAAAAAAAAATAATATTATGTTAAAAAGGGTAAATAAAATCAATACTAAAAACACATTTAAAAGCAACAAGGCACAACAGTCCATTTAAAAATACCTTCTCAGACAGCAAGTCACTAAGGGAAAGCCTGCCTGAAGAGGGAGGTCTTTGTCTGCTTGCGGAAGGACAGCTAAAATGGGGCTGGGCTGGCCTCCAGTGGGAGGGAGTTCCAAAGTCTGGAGGCCAGGACAGAGAAGGCCCTCTCCTGTATCTCCACCAAATCCACCTGTAAGGGTGGTGAAACTGAGAGAAAGGCCTCCCCTGATGGTCTTAACACCTAGGCAGGTTCATTAAGGGAGATGCAGTTCTTGAGATCACTTGGGCCCAAGCCGTTTAGGGCTTTATAGTTTAAAACCCGGACTTTGAATTGGCAGCCAGTGGAATTGCTGGAAGTAACTAGGGCATGTGTTATGACAGTGGCCAGGTTAGATATCTCCAGAAACGGAAGTAGCTGGCGTATTATTTTCATTGTGCAAATGGACACCTGGACAATGCCGAGACTGGGGCCTCCAGGCTCAGAGATGAATCTAGGAGCACCCCCAAGCTGTGCACCGGGGTTTTCAGAGAGAGTGTCACCCCATCCAGCACGGGCTGCATCCCTATTCCTTTATCTGCCTTTCGACTGACCAGGACCTCCTCGCGTCTGGATTAAGTTTCATTTCATCCTCATCCAGTCCATTACTGATAGCAAATACCACCTTTCATCAAGCATTTGGAAAGGGACAACGAAATGAATTTGCTGAGTGAAAACGAGATCCTGTAACTGGC